TCAACCAGTGAGGAGCTTTCAAACCCAATTCTGATACTGCTCTTTAAAAATGACAAAAATCTCGGACTTTTTTTTACAAAGCCCAATTTTTAGCTTTCAGCCACAAGATTAACACTTTGTTGTTCATGCACATTGTTGTCTAGATTTTTAAAAAATGCTTGTTTCCATTTATTCTTTTAAAGATGTGGAACACGTTTATACCAGCCCTGGTCCTCAGGGCACACTTTCCATGTCCCTGCTTCAGCACACCTGATTTTCATTTGCATTGCCTCCTCAGGAGGACATCACGTGTTGCCTGTAATCATTCATTCGTTTAAATGAGGCGTGGCAGCAGGGAAACATTGATGTTTAAAAGGGCAACATGGAAAACATGCAGGACAGTGTGCCTTGAGGACCGGGGTTGGCAAACAATGGTTTAATCAATACATTTGCAGTGATCTCTAGTGGGACGGGGGCAGGGTTTAGATACACTTATTTAAGGAGCGATAAGTCAGCTGGAGGAAGAAGTAGCTTCAGATGACAGGATTTGGGCTCATTTCCTGATATTTGGACATCTCACTTCTGATTGGCTAACAACAACCGGACTCTACCACTGACTCTGTTTGCTTTGCAATGTTAATGTTTAATGTCCCTGAATTAAACAAGCCTGAAGGAGCTCTGCTGTGTGGTGTAGCTGCTAATGCTAATGGTTAGCTTCTATAGTCGAGATGTTCTCCATTGTTTCCTGGACGCCAAACAAACAACCTTCCCTGTCGCAAGCCGAGATGGGTGAGTCCATGAATGTTAAGTGACAGTGTAACGCAGATCTGTCAGTCTTTTCAATTCCTAGAGCTTCAACATCAATATCTATCAGAAGCTAATGCAGGAGATAGGTGTAGGAGACTACTTTCATGTTGTGTCTGCAAGAAAAACTCAGAGTGACTGATTATAATCAGAAATAATAATGAAAAACTTTTTTTTTATTGTTCCACACCTTCAAAATGAACCTATTATTAAAAATGTGGTCAAATACACCTAGTATAGTGTGCAGGAGTGGGAAGATTGACACCATGTGTAGGAAGATCACAAGGAGATGTCCGCAAATAATAAAAAACAGAGGAAGTTAAGAGAACTTTTGCCACAATAATGCTAACATTAAAGCTACGTTCTCAGCAGCACCAACAACCCACTCTGCAGTAATGATCTCTCTGAATCCTCATGGTGAAAATCAGTAAATGAGTTGTAAACAATCTCACGAGTCATTGCTTTACTTTAGAGGATCTGGCTCATATTAGTTTAAAACTTCTACTTTTTAAACTTCCTGCTGCAATGCTGATGCTAACAACAACAGAAACGTGAAGTATTTCAGTTTCTGTTTCTTTTACTTTATGGCGGATGTTCATTGAGAGCCGTGCCATATGTTCATTTTGAAATACCATCGGCCACTCTTAGTTTCACATGCATGCAGAACGTTAGAAAGTATTCAACCCCTGCTGCTTGCTTTAAACGGTAAATGGTCTGTACTTGGTATAGCACCTTCTAGAGTCCTAGAACCCTTCAAGGTGCTTTACAACAGTCAGTCATTCACTCATCTATACACATTCACTTATTGGTGATGAGCTACAATAGCCACAGCTGCCCTGGGGCACACTGACAGAAGTGAGGCTGTCGAGCACGGGCGCCACTGGTCCCTCCGACCAAGGACACAACACCTCTTGCTCAAGGACACAGCAGCAGCATTCTCTACCACGAGCTGGGATCGATCCTGCAACCCTCCGATTACTGGATCAGCCGCTCTACTCCGCTTTAGCTGCCAAAATAAAATGAACAGAGAAATGCTCGAGTCAGAAAAATCTAGTCTCTTCTAAATCACAGGGTGAAATTAGCATTCAGTGACCCACCATCCAGGAGAGAATCATGGGTCCTTCGTGTTTAAGAAGACACAAGAGGGGGCCAGTTGTTCTGTTCACAACTTTTGGTCTTATTTGTTTACAACAACACAGTCAAATTGGACAGTGGATCCTCAAGCCTTTACCCAGGAAGAACTGTAAATTTTTCTGGTATATGGCACTTATTCTTTTCTGCTGCTTGCATAGTTACAGTCGAGTTAGTTTGCTCTCCCAGTCATACGGGGGAGCCTCAACACTTCCTGTCTTCCTACTCTGATAGGGAGCCCATCCCCCGTCGGCTCATGGGTCCACCGAACAAAGAAGGAAGTGAACGGGATCATAAGAGCTATTTTCTAATCCACTTTGCCTTACACCCTGAATGGTGTACTTACAGCCATTGTTATTGTCTTCTCCATGTCTGGTTTGGTGACGTCAATTTGGTGATGTGCATTTGTAGTCCAACGTGTCTTTTCACAAAAAGTCAAAACAAATTTTTGACACCTGTCAAAAAAAAAGCGCTTTCTTGGGATCAAAATGTGTCTAAAATTACAGACATCATAAATTAAATTCATGGCACACATCAAACAGGATCAGAAAATCACTTTTATCCCTCAGTAGCCTCTCATTCTTTTGGCTGTTTGGGACCCATGGGTCAGATGGGCGTGACTTAGGCTCCCTATAATTAACCCAGCTAACCAGCTAATGATGTTCAGAGCCAGCTGGTTACAGTTAGTCAACTGTTGGCATTTATCAGCCTAAATAACGTGTTGACTGATCAGTCATTCTGTTGCCACATGCATGGTTTAAATATTAGGAAGCTTGTATTGAATTAGTTATGTGAAAACTAATTTATTTTATCGACAGTCTCGCCATCTTTTTTTCTCCACAGGTTGCCTATCTGGCAACTCTTCATTTGCTCTCATTCAAATGCTCATTTAATCTCATCTTGATGCCTTAGTTTTGAATTAAGTCATTTAAATAATGTGTTTGCTTATTCTATGAAAGACCAATGAAATATCAATACCAAAGTCAATCATAATCTTATCGTGCAGATGCTACACTTCCTGGCCCAAAACAATGTTGCTACCCAAAAACAACAACAACAAAAAAAAAAACTGTTGCATGCTAATATTTTGTTGGACCGCCTTTAGCTTTGATTATGACACACATTCGCTGTGGCGTTGTTTCGATAAGCTTCTGCAATGTCACAAGATTTATTTCCATCCAGTGTTGCGTTAATGTTTCACCAAGATCTGCATTGATGATGGTAGAGTCTGACCGCTGCACAAAGCCTTCTCCAGCACATCCCAATGATTCTCAATGGGGTTAAGGTCTGGACTCTGTGGTGGCCAATCCATGTGTGAAAATGATGTCTCATGCTCCCTGAACCACTCTTTTACTATCTGAGCCTGATGGATCCTGGAATTGTCATCTTGGAATATGCCCGTGGCATCAGGGAAGATGGAATAACCTGGTCATTCAGTATATTCAGGTAGTCAGCTGACCTCATTCTTGGAGCACATCCTGTTGCTGAACCTAGACCTGACCAACTGCAGCAACCCCAGATCATAACACTGCCCCCGCAGGCTTGTACAGTAGGCACTAGGCATGCCTCTCTTCTTACCCTGATGCACCATCATTCTGGAACAGGGTCCACCTGGACGCATCAGACCAGTTTTTAATAATGTGTTGGACAGTTCTTAAACCAGTTTTAGTCGTTTCTAAAATCTCCTTAGATGTTTTCTCTGATTGAGGCGTACCAACGATCTGACCCTTCCCTAACAAACCAACATATTTCCCACGACCACCAGATTTCCACATGGTTGTTTAGGAAATGAGAAGCACCTCATTGCACCAGTTGGGGTTAAATAACTTGTTGCCAGCTGAAAGATAATTGCTCATGCAGTAATTATCCAACAGGAGGCTCCTACCTGTTTGCTTAGTTAAATCCAGGTTGATTTTTGGGCTGGGCAGTGAATACAGCTGTTAGTCCACATTTAATTAATTTTATTCAGCCTAAAAATTCTCATTTTAATGGTTTATTTTTTACTTTTTGCAGATCATGCCCAGCATTGACTGTATCATACAAGTTGAGTTATTTACAATACCTCGAGACTGGCTGCAAAACCAGGTAGCTTAATACCTTGTCTCACTCAGGCATTACAGGCAAATGCACATACATTATACTAGTCAACATATCAATAATTTTCTGTTCAGATAACACCATGTGGTGTTCAATTTGTAACAAAAAATACACGTTCGCTAACACCCTGATCACTCCCTCTTGTATCGCACGACAGACACATTTAGGCTCTACATGTTGGTTCATTCCGGTCTACAGAGGATGAGAGTCAGGTTCACTCCTCCACTCTTGACTCCGTTTTCACAGAGACGGTGCTACATCTGGTTTCCACGCACACTGTCAGAAACATTACTCATGAGAGGTAATTATAAACTCCGCTGTGAAATCACTTTTTCATTTTATTGTTTTGGGAGGCAGACTCCCCCTTTTCTACCCTCACAGTCACTACGGGGCTTTATTATGTTGGTCCAGCGACTGAAATGACTCTTTAGCAAACTTGTTTTGCAGATAAACAATAGAATGTAGCCATATTTCAGAGAGTGACACTGAAGTAGATTTTATATCCAGTTTAAACGTATAAGTACCAGAATGAAACAAAAAAAATTGGGAGGATGACGCTTCTGCAGAGGGGTTTGATTTACCGTTCCAAATAGGTGTAGGAGTGTACGTTTAGTTGCTGAGGCCAGCAACAGTATTATTAAAAGGGACGGCAGCAGCTGGCAGAGAGGAGCCGGGGTCAGCAGTCAGAAAGTGAAATCCTCTTTTAACGAGTCCTCTGGGTGAACCTAAAACACAGAGCAAATAATTTACACAACAGTGCAAATAGTAAAGGCAGGCAGGCTGGGTGTGCTTTTCACATATGAAACTTGTAACAAGTGAAACTGAAATATTCAGATGACCGATGGGTGTTGGGTAAAATACATTCTTGTTACATTATTATTACTTTTAATCTATCTGAAAAATAAAACAATTATGCAACTAATTTGATAACAACTCTTAAAAATTCTCCAGCTGATTTTGAAAATTGTTATTTTTTTCCTTGTCTTCAGAGCCAGCCTGAGATGGGGTACTCGATGCCAGAGCTGCAGGCTCCTCGATCCAGCGTGGCTGACAAACCCTGGCCTCAGGTCCACTCCCACACCCAGAGACCCCACGGTTAGAGCATACACACACACACACACACACACACACACACACACACACACACACACACACGCACGCACGCACGCACGCACGCACGCACGCACGCACACACACACACACACACACCATTTTTTATGTATTCAACAAAAAAAAACCTTGAGTTATCTGTCTAAACGGTGTTGTAGGTGTGAGGGGACACGGAGACAAAGGAGCTGCTAAAGCATCAGGGAAAGGGAAACACCCCGTCCAGCACGCAGAAGACCCCGCAGCCGACCACGACTTCCTGGGCTGCATGTCAAGGTCACTTAACCTACTACACATATTACACGCTATAGGTTACAGCTTGAGTCCATCAGGTCAGACCTTTCCAGATATACATATTGATCTAAAAATTAGATGTTTATAAAACAGTAACTCATAAATACACATGACGCCTTGTTATAAATGATATCAGGTGTCTTACTGAAGCTGTCATCCCCAGAATAACAAATTCATGAGTGCAAACAGACTGGATTGTAACAAAACATACAAACAATACACAGTTTGAAGCAACATGCAGCATGACATATTTTCTGTTAAAATGTGCAAAACTGCATGTTTAATGCATACTTTTATAATGACCTTTAGTTTTTTGGGCTCATCTTGCTAAACGGTGCAGGGAGGATTCAGGTTCGGACTCACATGTTCTTCTGTTCTTGTTCCCTCACTCTTCTTTTCCAGACGTTCGGGCCTTCCGCGGTGGATTTTGGCTGCTTGTCTCTTCCTGTCCATCATGGTCATGTTGTGGCTCAGTTGTGCCAGTCTGGTAACTGCGCCGGAGCAGCATATCAAAACACAGGTGCTTTTTCTGAAGAACGTGCCTCTATGTGTGATTAACAGTTGTTTATGTTAATAAAACTCTGTAAAATTGTCCAAATCCTACATATTAAAAAATTGCTTGGCTTCAAAGATGGCAGTGAGCCCTTAGAAAAGATTATGCTTTTGTACACAACGTTTGCAGCAACAAGAAAGATAATAAAAGTAGGTTTTAATGTAATTCTAGACCCTATTTGACTGTTCTGAGACTTTTATGGATAGTTATCAGGGATGTAAGAAAATATTGATATGGTAATGTATCGCAATATTTTTTCCTGCAATATTATATTGATATTCAAAAGCCGTGTATCTAATTTTTGAAAGAATTTACATGCAAACATTTGTGTATTTTCTTTTCTTTTGGTTCAAACGCCAACCACTAGTTGGCAGCAGTGTGTACTGGGTTTTGTTTCCTCCACTGAAATGTACATCCCTCTATTATGGTTCAGATACCAGATGTTACACATGTTAGGTATCAGTTTGGACTAGTTATTGAATTTTCCTACAATAAATTAAAAAAATCACTAATATCGTCTGGCTAAATGTATCACAATATATCGTATCATCTCTCCTGTATCGTGATACATATCGTACCGTCAAAATTTCACAAATTCACATCCCTAATAGTTATGATGTTTTGCAAACAAAGTTAATGCAACACACATTGTTATTAGTATCCTACAGATGAAACTGCTGTTTTTTGTCTCAGAAAACTCTCCTGCCTTCACTCCTCAATGAGTTTCAGTTATCAGGGTAACAGGGATTTTTAAACCACAAAATTATGGGAAACAATAGCTGAAATGTTTACTTAATCATTCTTTGCTCTTTGTATATTTCCAGCTGAGTATCAATGGGGATAAAGAGTTCCTGGAGCATGTGCACAAAGTCAACCCGTACCACCTGAACCCCATGATAGCTGTCACCGTGAAGCAGTCAGAGGACAATCAGGAAGCAGGGCCGCTGCCCGTCAAAGTTGACCTCAGCAAAACCTGTGTTTAGGAGGAACCAGCGGCAGAGCGGCTGTCTTGTTTCCCTTGGTAACTTTGTCTAAAATATGTGGCCTGTCAGTGACATAGAAACACATCACGCCACTCATTCCGCAGAATGTTTATAAACATGTAATAATAGAAATAACAGTAATATATTAATAACGATAACGCATGGCACCCTCCCTGTCATTTAAATTGATTTGAAACATCTTGCTGAGTTTTTCCAGTTAGCTGCACTTGTCATGCGTGTCATTTCCTTGTAGAGTCCAGATCTGTCCGTTCATCCTGAGATTCTAATTAACCGCCGACTGGTTACGTCGCTGCTAAGAGACGAGACATGTTCCTGTCTCAGAGCCACACACGAGACAAGCACAGAGGACGCGTTATGTCTCAGAGCTATTCTGACACTTTTCAGACCACACACACACACACACGTTAGATTTGATTCCTCTCATTCTCGCATAGGTAGGATGAATAAAAACAGCTCACTGTTTGATTGTAGAAATCAAGAGAGAGAGAGAGAGAGAACGAACGAGGGATGACGGTGAGCAAGTACCTGACAGCACTGCAGAAAACAAACACCCATAACAAACAGTTTACAGTGAGTTTACACAACCAGCCTTATGAGCTGATCACAAATGGCCCAGAAATAGAAAATCACCTTACTTCTTAGGCGAGCCATTCTCACTAATGAAACAAAAAAGCTCAATTTGTGTTTTCTAAATTCACGTGCTGTCAGATGCATCCCCTAACAGCACTCACTCAAAAAAAAACCTTTATTTCTTTTCTACTGTAGTTATTCTGAAGCATCTGCGTGAGCTGAATTATGAAAGTGGTGTGACGTATCATGGAACTGTAAATATAGGAGGAAGAGTGCACTCGATGCTGGGTGAAGGTCATGGTTATTATGTCACTGTAGGAGGTTTGTAGCTGTTACATGTGCCATGTGCTTTCTAATAGCCGACTCTTTTGTATGTCCTAGGAGCACATACTTAAGGATAACCCCTGTAACCATGTGTAATGCAAAGCTTTTATCATAGATCTTTGTTTCTAAACAGTCTTAGAGAAGATCTTGTTTTCCTCTCAGTGCTTTTGATGTCCTGTAATGCTCTCCTTTAACCCAAGCGATGTAGACAATTAACCATGCATGCAAGTGATTTTTTTCCCCTTTCTTTTTTTTGGGAAAAGATTTATCTTAAGCGCTCGCCACGCCTGTACGGCACAGCTCTACTGTGGATTTGTGATATATATCTATATTATTTTAGTTATTTTGGTTCATATTTACAGTAAACATTTAAAATGTGTAATAATGGTCATATCCTTGTGGTTTACAGAAAGGACTGTTGATTAAAAAGCCATCCAATCACCTGCTGAGGAGAATATCACAAGGAATGTGATGTGAATTTGAAACTGTATTCTTTCCTTTTTACTACCGTTTATTTTCAATGAAATGATCCAAATGAGGAAATAAAGCATTGATGCAAGTGAGGGTTTTCTTCCTTTTAGAAAAAGGACGTTTAATAAATGGATGATACACATTATGAATCATTTTGTTATTATTTGTGTTGGATGTAGTACTGAAGGAGCCCGTTACAGTTTTTCTCAATTGCTAAAACACTAAAATCCATTGACTGAAGAAAGTTTTCAGTTGCTTGAACTCATTAAGTTAACCGTTGTGCCTGTTGTCAAAACCTTTAACCATGTCACACGGTTTAGCAAAACTCTAAACGCATTTTCATTCTTAAAACACATTCTGCACTCTAATGTACATGTCGTCCATAATGGTAAACACAAGTGGCACACATTTATGTCATGGTCTGCATCTGCCCCCTCCTTCATGTGTCTCCTGGTGTTCTCCATCCCTCTCTAGATTCCCTTCTGTGTCTCATAGCGCCCTCATGTGTCGTTTGTCTGCGTCTCTATTATGTGTCTTCAGTTTGTAGGCCTTCTTATCATTCCCTCAGGACTGGTGTTCATTTAGTTATCCTCTGCCCCTCCAGTTGTAGCTCCAGCCTCTTGTTCCCCAGCTTAGTGTATGTGTGTGTTAGTGTGTGTGTGCATGTCCTGCCCCAGTTCATTGTATGTGTGTATGAGTTTGTGTGTGTCAGTATGTGTATGTGTTTGTGTCAGTCCTTCCCTCAGTCTTAGGTTTAGTTTTATGTTTAGGTTTATCTGCCCTCTATTGGTTCTGTTTCCCCCATTTAGATCGTTTGTGTCACCTGCCTTCCCTCCAGTCCTCACTCCACACACCTGCTTCCTGTTTCCTTAATTGTTCTCCCTGTGTATTTAAGCCCTGTCTTGTCTCTGTTTGGTGTCGGTCCATTGTGGTAATTCTGTCAGTCTTCTCGTGTTGTCTCTAGTGTTTTCCTGGCTTCCAGTGTCTCTTAGTCTCGAGTGTTTTGATCTCCTCCTCAGCTCTTTTGGATATATTGGTTTTTTGGCTCCAGCCCATTTGGATATATTTTTGTTTCATTCATCCTAATAAAAGGATTTTACTTTAAATCATCTCATCTTGGGTTCCTGCATTTTGGGTCCTACCAACACTGAAATGTGGCAATTTACCCACGACAAGAGCACAAATGTCATTGACTGAACACAATCAGTCAAAATACATTTCACTTGTTTCAAATGATGTGACAACCAATATAAGCATGTTCAGAGAGCAAACAGGTTGTTGAAGGTGGGAATGAGAAAGTGTGACAGTGGATAGAAGAATTCATGTAAGAGGATGGACGGGTGCGGATGCGAGGTGGGGGATGAGGAGGAGGGCAAAAAAGAGGAAGAGGAAGAGGAAGAGCAAGAGAAAGAGTGGAAATATCCAATGAAATTTGAGCAACAATCATAGACCATGTTATTGTCCGTGGGCTGTCAATGAGGGAAGCAGGACTCAGACTGCAACCCAATTTGAGCCTCAGGAGGGAAAATAGTGCATGCGATGTCGATGAAGTACTGTGGCCTGACCCAGCCCACAGACAAGAAGAGGCTCAGTCATAACATGTTTAGTCCTTTGATGCTTTTCATTTTATGTAGTTTTTTCACTGTCATTGTACACTGTAGCACAATGGACTGCAGGCTGCATATGGTACAATAAGCAAATTGTAAGGCCCTGAACATTGTGCTTTCTATTTTCTGGTGTATTGCTTACTGACTGCTTGATGGTGTATGCAATTTTGAGTAATTTGTTCATGATTTGAGAGTAGTGTTTGATTTTGAGCACAGCTAAAACTGTTTTGAGGTGAAAGTTTGATTTTGCAAGAGGAATGAGAGGTTGTGTAAATCGTGCTTGAAGCTGAGGTTTTGTGTTTAATGTTTTGAGACAAGGGAGCAAGGTTTCAGGAATTGCGCTTTAGCAATAGAGAAAAACTGTAACATAAAAAATCCTTGGTGGCATGACGTTTGTCTAGCTCATGTTTTTTTTTATTGAACCATTATGGAGCATTTTCCAGCAGGAATGGCCTGTTTCAGGTCAAAGGTCAGACATTCTTTGTCTCGCAGGATAATTCATGGTTCCAGCAATTACAGCAGGTCATCCCTTTCCTTACATATTTTTTAAATAATCAAAAGTTTTGTCTCCTTTTAAAGATATTTTTAAACACTTTTTGAAATCTCTTTTGTACTTTAACTTTTTTGTTTTTGTGAAGCACCTTGGGATTTTTGTCTTGAGAGGTGCTATATAAAATATTGTTTTCTTTCTCTCTTTTCCAAACCATCATGCTGCCACCACCATGTTTGACTGATAGTATGATGATTTGTTTTCTTAATCCAATGTTAGTCCTACACCAGTCAGAACAGAACACATTCCTAAAACAGGGGTATTCAATTCTGGTCCTGCAGGGCCAGTATCCAGCATGTTTTAGTGGTTTCTCTGCTCCAGCACACTTGTTTCAGCGATGGAATCACCTGTGCAGCAGCCCATCAAGCTCTGCAAAAGCCTGATTATCACCTGCTGTGTGTTGCAACAGAGTTAAAACTAAAACATGCTGGATACCGGCCCTAATCAAAAATATTCCAGTTGTTTCTCAGCGGTCCACAGAATATTTTCCCAAAAACCTTGGGAATCATCAGACTAATGATCTGTAACGGAGTATAAAATAAGTTTTTACAACTTGCTTCTCACTCCAAAAACTTGGTACTCCTGATCTCTAAAACTAGCCTAAAAACAACTAATGTTTTAGAACCGAAATTTGAATAGATAGATTTATTTTAAATGTTTGGTTTGTTTAAGAAATAAAATTGCAATTTAGCTACAAAATTACTAGTTGATCTAATTTGAATTTGAAAATAGGAAGCATTTGTACTTGTGCTGATAAAATAAATATTATGTAGTAATAAAAAAAAACACACGGTGGCAGCAAAGTTTAAACCGTATCATAAGAGGGTGGTGTTTAATTTGAAATCACAAAAGAATTAACTTAAACTATATTTTGTTTGAGGTTAAATTTGAGTCCAAATCTGAATTTATTTATTTCATCAAAAAAAATTAATATTATTTTTTTTAAAAATTTTTTTGTATTGGTATTGAGTCCCTTATACAGGTGAAACAGGGCAAATTAGAATATGGTGCAAAATTCCATTTACTTATACTGCTTTGACTGAGAGACCACCTAAAGGCTCAGGGACCCTGTGCAAGTGTTTTAGGTTCAACAACTGATTAGAGTGGGACACTGAGTCGAAAATATTGAACCTTTTCACAATATTCTAATGTTGTATTACTTTTACTTTGGGGTTTTCATAAATTGCAAGCCATTACGATCGCAATATAACAAAGGCTTGAAATATCTGGATACGCATCATGGAATGAGTCTATCTCATATATAGTTTAATCTTTGCATTTATTTCAGTTGACTTACTGAAATAAATGAATGTTTGCATAATAATCTAACTTTAAACTAATTTTTAGAGCTTAAATAAATTGCTAAGAGAAAGAGCTAAAAGGGTCCAGCATGTGTCTTACATGATAAACTAAGCAAGTATTGTTTCTAAAGTCATGAAACAAATGATGCACATCGGAATATTGCAACGGTTGCTGCTGGAATAAATGATCATAAAAGAGGTTTTAGTGATTCTTCAGCTCATTCACAGAAATCTTCCTGCTGCTGCTTCTCACAAGTCTGATATTAAAACCCAAACATGTTGTTCATTGTGAGAGAAAAGAAAACACAGATTGTAATTTGCATTGGTCTCATTGTCACAGCATCACATGCACACCAGATACAACAAATTCCTAATCAAGAGCAATGTCTTCCTTTGATGTCCGTGAGGGCGCACGGGGTTGGTTAGCGTTCCTCTCGAGATATGTATATAAACACGTGTCTCTATGGTTCCTCCTATGTCCGTCACATATGTTCATGTTTATTTATTTGGCAGATGCTTTTATCCAAAGCGACTTACAATTTATAACCTATAGGTTATAAAACGTTAAGGCTTAGGTGTGGTTAAATGAGCTGGTTCGGTGCCGCATCAGCTCTAAGCTCATCGCAACTGGGGTAAAGCCAGCCTCCACTCGCCGATTCATGGTAAAGTGAGCCCTCACTTAATTTTGCTTGGCGCACACGTTCACAGCTTTGCGGTAAAAGCTCGGCCCACCTCTTTTCAAAACAAAAGCCCATTTCAGATACTTAATTTCTGACTGATTGTTTAAAAATAACTTAAAAAATGGATTTCAAATTTACCACATTATAGTTATATCACCATTTAACCACAGTTTTCAAAATAAAAGCCCATATCAGGAACTTAATTTCTGACTGTTTAAAAAAAACTAAAAAAAAACAGAATTCTAAAGTTACCGAATAATATTTATATCGCCATTTTAACAGCAGTTTTTCAAAATAAAAGCCCATATCAGAAACCTAATTTCTGGCTGATTGTTTAAAAAAACTTAAAAAATGGGATTCAAAGTTATCACATTATAGTAAAATCGCCATTTTAACCACTGTTTTTCTAAATAAAAGTCCATCTCAGAAACATATTTTCTGACTGATTTTTTAAAAAAATAACTTGAAAGATGTTATTCAAAAGTTACCAAATTATACTTATATCACCATTTTAACAGATATTTCAAAAATATATTACAAATGGTGGAAATGCCTAAAAAACGACTTGGGACAATCCTTTTTAAACATGTTTCTCCATAAGTCCATAGTGATTTGATACTATATTACAATTCGATGACCTCTTGTTTTTCCTGTGAAACTTTATAGAAAAGCTTATTTTTATTTATATATTATGCTTCCAAAAACCTATATATATTACATAGAAAAAAAATCTGTTTCCAGAATCTTCTGGTGTGAAACAGTGAAGAATCATACACCATGTTTATGTATTTAGCAGACGCTTTTGTCCAAAGCGACTTACAAGTGATAATCGGCATATTGCCATTGAGGCTAACAACAACAATAACAAACAACAACAACAACTTGACATCAATCATGGAGAGTAGGGAACAAGGAGTGGACAGTAGAGAGGGGGGACGGGTGCAGGGAGGGTGCTAGTTAAAGAGCAAGTTACCCCCAAATAAACTTTTTTTTGCTGATAAACTAAATAAA